ACACACTGCATACACTAACACAACACACACTCTGCATCCGCTACACCAACACACACTCTGCATCCGCTACATCAACACACACTCTGCATCCGCTACACACTAACACACTCTCTGCATTCACTACACATTAACACTGCATTCACTACACTAACACACACTCTGCATCCGCTACATACTAACACACTCTCTGCATTCACTACAAATTTACACACACTATGCATTCACTGCACTAACACACACACTACATTCATTACACTGACACACTCTGCATTCACTACACACTAACACACACTCTGCATTCACTACACACTAACGCACACTCTGCATTCATTACACACTAACACACACTCTGGATTCACTATACTGACACACACTCTGTATTCACTACACTAACATACACTCTGCATTAACTGTACACACAGCATCCACTACACAAACATCCTGTATTCACAGTACACACACTACATCCACCACAAACTGAAACACTCTGCATTCACTATACACAGACACTGCGTCTAATACACACACTACATCCACTACAGACACTGCATCCACTAAACACATTTCATCTAGTACATACAAACACTACATCCACTACACAAACACACACTACATCACTGTACACACACTACATCACTGTACACACACTACATCCACTACTCAAAAACACTCTGCGTTCACTATACACACTGCATCCGCTACACAAACACACACTCTGCATTCATTGCACAAACAGTATCTAATACACACAAACACTACATCCATTACACACATTCTAATTCACTTCCACTATACACACACCACATTCAGTCCTGCATCATTGTGAGCGGACTAGGTAGGGCGTGGGCGGGCCCGTGAGGAGGGGGGGGCCCAGACCTTGTGCTTTGTCATGGGCCCCAAATTTTCTGATGGCGGCCCTGCATACACTGCATACACTAACACACACATACACTGCATACACTAACACACACATACACTGCATACACTAACACAACACACACACTGCATACAATAACACACATAAACTGCATACACTAACACACACATACACTAACACAACACACACACTGCATACAATAACACACACATACACTGCATACACTAACACACACATACACTGCATACACTAACACAACACACACACTGCATACAATAACACACACATACACTGCATCTACTAACACAACACACACACTGTATACACCAACACCACACACTGTATCTACTAACACACACACTGTATACACAACACAACACACACACTGCATACAATAACACACACATACACTGCATTCACTAACACAACACACACACACTGCATACACTAACACAACACACACACTGCATACACTGACACACACATACACACACTGCATACAGTAACACAACACACTGCATACACTAACACACACACACACTGCATACACTAACACACACTGCATACACTAACGCAACACACACTGCATCCGCTACACTAACACACACTCTGCATCCGCTACACTAACACACACTCTGCATCCGCTACACACTAACACACTCTTTGCATTCACTACACATTAACACTGCATTCACTACACTAACACACACTCTGCATCCGCTACATACTAACACACTCTCTGCATTCACTACAAATTTACACACACTATGCATTCACTGCACTAACACACACTACATTCATTACACTGACGCACTCTGCATTCACTACACACTAACATACACTCTGCATTCACTAAACTATGCACACACTCTGGATTCACTATACTGACACACACTCTGGATTCACTATACTGACACACACTCTGCATTCACTACACTAACATACACTCTGCATTAACTGTACACACAGCATCCACTACACAAACATCCTGTATTCACAGTACACACACTACATCCACCACAAATTGAAACACTCTGCATTCACTATACACAGACACTGCGTCTAATACACACACTACAGACACTGCATCCACTAAACACATTTCATCTAGTACATACAAACACTACATCCACTACACAAACACACACTACATCCACTACTCAAAAACACTCTGCGTTCACTATACACACTGCATCCGCTACACCACACACTCTGCATTCATTGCACAAACAGTATCTAATACACACAAACACTACATCCATTACACACATTCTAATTCACTTCCACTATACACACACCACATTCAGTCCTGCATCATTCGGAGCGGACTAGGTAGGGCGTGGGCGGGCCCGCGAGGAGGGGGGGGGGGGCCCAGACCTTGTGCTTTGTCATGGGCCCCAAATTTTCTGATGGCGGCCCTGACAAGAAGGAACATTCCAGCCTGTTACTATAATAACAAGAAGGAACATTCCAGCCTGTTACTATAATAACAAGAAAAAACTATCCAGCCAGTTACTATAATAACAAGAAGGGCTCTCTGGCCACTATAAACATATACATATATATACATATCTAAGTTAACTGATATATCTAACAATGGTATATATGCAAATTATGTACATATAATAGAGCAGATATATAATGTCACTTTTTTACTATTTGCCCACTGACTGCTACCAGTGCAAGAATAAGAATGTCCAGGGCCTAGGCAGGGTGCCAGTAAGGCCCCTCTCTGGGCTCTGTTTCTGTAAATGGTGTGGGGTAGGCGAGGAGCTGAAGGAGTGTCCTGAGGGTGTTTGTGTGTGCTGGTTGAGCGTTGTGTGTGTGGTGGTTGAATTGTGTGTGTTTAAAGGGTAGTCTGAGTGTTGTATGTGTATGTTTTGCCTGGTACTAATAACAAGAAGGAACTCTCTGGCCA